TATATATATATATTGTTTCTTGTTTATTATCTACATTTAGTGGGTTATGAAATGCCTACTTACTTTTATGGTTTATTTTGCAAAAAATACCGAACTTTTGGCCCATATATATAACTATATTTCTGACGTTATATTGAGCATTTTATTGCTGACGTTATATTAAGAGGTTCTGGTACCGGGTAACCGGGTAGCACAGACATGAAGGGATCCTTAGGGGCGAAGAAAGTTATTGATCGAGGTCCTAGTCCACATACCAAGTACCATGGGCATCTTATTTGATGGATACAGGCGCTATATAAAACTACACAATAATAGTAATAATAATAATAATAATAATAGTAATAATAATAATAATAATTATTATTATTATTATTATTATTATTATTATTATTATTATTATTATTATTATTATTATTTTATTAACTTTTGTTTGATCACAAGTGGGTATCAGCACCTGTTTACAAAATATATAATTAGACAGACTTGGTTTGATATAAATTTATCAGTTTTTAAATAGGCCTATTTCTTGTAAATAGAATTGTCTACTGACTAAAATAGATCAAAATCATGTCCCTAAAACCATGCTAAAATCAAGGCAAATTCAACAAAGGACGCATATCTCTGGACGTATTAAAGGATAACTATGGCATCGATATTCTACGCGCCGCGAGCCACTATAAGCTGATCGTCACAAAATCCATAGTAACCATCAGTGTGTGACGAATTACCCACGTGCGTGTGAGTTGCCATGATAATCGCTCGTCGTGCGATGGTTGCAAAGGACTAATGAATTATTGCATTAACTTTAGACTGAAATTATATTCATTATTTCGGCATTAAAAATAGAAAAAAAAAAATTCTGTATCTACTTCGTTTTGGGTACGGTACCTTAGTCCGACATTGTCAAAATCACAGTTTAATGTTATACATATAAGAACATGATTTTATTAAAATCTTAAATTTCCACTTGCTATAACTTTTCATTTTGTGGATCAATCTTCACAAATCAAATTGTAGTTTATAGAAGCACTTAACAAGTTCGTGATCGAAAGAAATCAGATGTAACAGATTGCGAAGTACCAAAAATTAATAAAATAGTAACTAACACCATAAAACGTATGGCCCGCATAGACTAATAATTGGCGGTTGTACTCGCTCACAAATAGTATCGGATTGTCGATGCCACAGTAAAGATCAAAGGACTGTACGCACGCGCTATATTCACGAGCGGAAATGTGCGTCCTTTTTTTTAATTGCTTTGCTAAAACTAGTAATTACAGAGGTTTCCGATCATTTTTTTTTATTTAAACTACTATAAAAATAGGCAGTGGCTACGCGACTAGTCGTAAACATAATCACGGGCTACGATTACGACCATACGACGGCGCATGTGTATTTATTGCCCGTTTTCGCTGACTGTACCTGTTTCGCGAGTCACAGGCAATAAGCGGTGGTAAGAATTTCAAAAGTCAATGAAAGATAACAGGTCAGACCATGGAAGTATAAACGAAACGTTGTCGCTGTTCATCAATTAATAACTGGACTATACTACTACTAGTGCTATAACTGTAATTTAGGCCCACACCAGCCTACTGTCTGTAACCTGACCCACACAACTCTAGCCTAGCCTTAGTACGTGCTTGCCTATCATACACAGTAAAGCCTGTATTTCCACTAGGTGAATTTATTCGCGCGATTTGAAAGCGTCGGTTCACACACAAGCGCATTCACATTTTCCATCGGGGGTTTCGCTTCAGCGAAATCGGTAGTTCAAACTGTTTCTACTTTTTGCGAAGCCAAAAAATGCGCAACCAATCACATCTCAGGAAGCGAACTGACGCTTTCGATTCGCGCGAATAAATTCGTCTAGAGGAAAACGGCCTTAACACAGACAGCACACACGTCCGTCACTAGTAGGCCTAACTAAATTAATACATCACGGAAAATTGATGGACGGAGCAGAACGTTCCGGATCGCGAAAAATTACAATGGGCGATCTATGATGGGTAGGCTAGGTCTACCCTTCAAACCTGTGCTTAATTGGGAGCGAGTACGCATGCGCCGTCTGATCGTTGTAATCGTAGCATGTGACTATATTTGAGTCTAGTCGTAAACATAGCCACTGCGATAAAAAATAATATAAAAATATTGAACAATAATATTATATATTTTGAGAAATTTGTCACAAATAGGCAAGGCCCATGTCAAGATATAAGAACCCTAATGTCAGCACCAGTCAATAAGGCCTGTGAGAAATGCCTTGTGAAATGGGTTAATGGTCAGTATCGGCGTTTTTTGGAAATTTGGTCTAATAAAGAGTTTTTAGGCACATGTAAATGCATAACTTGAGATGTAAGATTGAGATCTACAGCCACTATCTACAGAGATAGGCATGCCTTGAAACATGTGAAAGGTCAGAAATGGCATTTCCGGTCATTTTTAGCAAACTGTTTTATTAGACTAAATGGAAACATGAATGTTCCTTACAAATTTACACCATAATTAACTCTGTACTACCAGTTTAAAGACCCTATGGCTATGACCTTGAAACATGTCAAAGGTCAGAAACGGCATTTCCGGTCATTTTTTAGCACACGGTTCTATTATAACAAATAGAAACATCAATACTCTGAACATATTGGCACCAAAATTCACTCTACCACATTTGGTTGCGGAGATATAAGGACCTTGGCTATGACATTTGACCCTGACCTATTGACCTTTTGCCACATTTTGAAAATGTGTTACCAAGCCAAAAGTGATTCTTGGACCACCCTGAACTAATTTATGAAGTCAAATTGTCTAGACCTCAAAGAGCATATAGAACCTGGTCTGGCTACTAGGATAATGAAACAGAACGTTAAAACGAAATTTTTAAGATGTAGGGCCTAGTTATTAACTTTAGCATTCGATCTGAATAATTGGTGATGTACCAATAGTAATTTCTGACAAAATGCAATAATATGGTAAATGGTTCTCACTTTAGTTTTCTTTTAACGACATCTGGTACATCGCGTCTATATATGTGCTGTCTCTTATACACATCTAGATGTGTATAAGAGACAGGTTATACATATAAGAACATGATTTTATAAAAATCTTAAATTTCCACTTGCTATAACTTTTCATTTTGTGGATCAATCTTCACAAATCAAATTGTAGTTTATAGAAGCACTTAACAAGTTCGTGATCGAAAGAAATCAGATGTAACAGATTGCGAAGTACCAAAAATTAATAAAATAGTAACTAACACC